GACAGCCCCATCGCCTTTTTCATGGCGTTACAATCCACGTTGGCTAAGAAACATGTGAGTGTTTTCATCACTAAAAACGTAAATTCAAATAACTTTTGCTATTATAAATGGTATGAAGGTATGGTGAAATGGAATGACGCTTTTCTTTAAGCATATCTAACTAGAAATTTCTATTTATAAGTTTTTTATGCAGGAGAAATCTTTTGACATGGGTAACCGGCTTGTTTTATTAGCAACTATGCAGGCGATGATTTACACAACAACCACGTGAGTTTTTGTTTGCTCTGATAGATCTTCTGTTTTTATTCCTAAATTTATTTAGTTCTGTTTTAAATCTTGGCTTTATCCTTTCAGCGCTAAAAACACTATTCTAATGCAACTGAGCGAAGTATTGATTGCGGCTATGATTTGCGGTGATCTTAGCCATGTATCTGCTATATTAGCCCTTGAACCCAGCATACATCGCTATAACAAAGGCTATGATGTATATGTTTATGCAGTTGAATTTGATAATTACCAACTATTGTCGCATATTTAGAACGCTGCTATTTGGAATGCGTACAAGCTCGTAGCCGAATATGAGGAGTGGAAAGGAAGAACTGGTTTTGGTGGCATGATACTTAACACCGCACAGACGTTGCTCGAAGTGGCTGAAAGTATGAAGACCTCGGTTTTTCCCTTTAATTGTCTTTTCACTGAATTTTAAGAGAGAAATTGTAGTTGATCCTGCTCGAGGCACATTGTTTTTTGAGACAGCATGCAAGATTTGGGCCAAAGTTGGACGCTGTGAGGACAAAATGTTGGTTGTTGTTCGTCTGTATCCGCATTCAACCTCTTTGTTTACTGATCCAAATATTTTAGTGCAGAGGCAGTTTCAAGTATTTTGCGAAGGTGTCCGCAGCTTCTTGGTCGTGTCACTGCATTCTTAAAGTCAATCGACTATGATCATGAGATTGAAGTCGCTATTGAAGAGGTATCATTGTCTTCTATTATACTTATTTTTTCTGCGGTTTTTTCGTTAAGGTGCTTACCATTGGCAGAGATATTTGCACTTAATGTCACTTTCAAATTTGTTCTAAATAGTAGAACCCAGGTTTGCGATGCCAAAGATAGCGGTTTGCACCCTAGCGATGCTGCATGGGTAGATTGGTGCCGGACACGAGTCGAGCGTCCAGAGAGGTGGGATCTCACCTTTTCTTATTTTCATATTTTTCATGTTTTTTCTTAGATTTGGTCAACGACTTCAAGTACTTGACCGATGTGTTAATATTTTGTTCAAATTCCTCGACTATGGATCAAATCGTGGCAATGCTCAAGCATGGGTATTACTACACACTGCAGTGCAGTTTGTGGACCCATCCTCACTGGTCCCTTTATGGTCGGAACGTTATGACTGGTGGCCGCGCTTTCATACAGTGTCTCTTCCTTCGGAAGCAGCCACTCGGCGTTCTGAACTGTTAGCTGCTTTAGCTGAAACTCCTATTGAATGATCTCCACATGGTGCAATTGTTGTGGTAGGCGTTTGCGATTTACGAGTCTTCACTGTTGTTTCTTTTTCTTATGAAAGTTCTAGGAGTTGATAGTCGTTATAGTTGCTGTGGAATAAATTTGGTTTATTCGTAATTGGTTTGGTTATTTACATCCTATAAGTGGATAAAATACTTGCTTAATAATAAAAGTAAAATACAGAAAGTTGTTATTTTTATGCTGACCATCCTCCTCTTTTGAAAAAGGAGTTTATATGAGCGTTTTCTAGGATTGCACACCATACGACAAATCAGAAAAAGTGTCCAAATTTTTGATTGTCCACGCAGTTGTACTTACGTTA